AAATGTTTTTATGGATCACAGAAATCTATGTTGATATGTGAGCTATTGGTGAATAGTCTTGAGATGCCACCAAGATTCAATCACTGCGTACCCTGAATTCCTTATAATGAGTTTGACCACTGATATCAGATAAATCATATTTTCAGTATACTAGGACGTCTTTTTTTTTTTAATTTTTATTAGTGAAACACCACGAGACAGTTGTGGACTCACAAGTTTTTGTGCTTGGGTTTCAGTTATACAATGATCAAGTACCCATCCCTCCACCAGCGCCCATCCTCCACCACCAATGATGCCAGTATCCCTCCCATCCCCCCATCCCCCCATACCATCCCACCTCTGTGGCAGGGCATTCCCTTTTTTTCTGTCTCCTTTTGGGTGCTGAGGTTTGCAAAAGAGGCATTGAGTGGCAATCATGTTCAGTCTATAGTCTACTTTCAGCCTGCTTTTCCCATCCTGGGCGGATCCTCCCAACACCCTTTATTTGGTGTTCCCTTAGCTATCTGAGCTGCCTTTTCTCCTAGCATGTATGGCTGACCTTCAAGCCATGGAGTGAACCTCCTGGTACTTATCTTGACTATTCTTGGATGGTAGTTTCCTATTTTGTAACTTTATATTCCCAGATCAATGCAATCTTTCTATGTCTATCCCTCTCTTTCTGACTCATTTCGCTTAGCATGATACTTTCCATATTGTACCACTTGTATGTAAATTTCATGACTTCATCTTTTCTAAGAGCTACGTAGTACTCCATTGTGTAGATGTACCAAAGTTTCTTTAACCAGTCATCTGTTCTTGGGCATTCAGGTTTCTTCCAGTTTCTGGCTATTGTAAAGAGTGCTGCAATGAACAAACAAGTGCAGATGTCATTTCAACTATACTTTTTGGCCTCTCTGGGTTATATTCCCAGGAGTGGTATTGCTGGGTCAAATGGGAGCTCAATTTCTAATCTTTTGAGGATCGTCCATACTGTTTTCCAAAAGGGCTGAACCAGTCGGCATTCCCACCAACAGTGAAGGAGGGTCCCTTTCTTACCACATCCGCGCCAACACCGGTTGCTTTTGTTCTTGTGGATGTGGGCCAGTCTCTGGGGTGTGAGATGATACCTCATTGTTGTTTTGACCTTCATCTCCCTGATGATTAATGAGGTAGGGCATTTTCTCATGTGCTTTTTTGCCATTCGGATTTCTTCTTTGGGAAAGTTTCTGTTCATTTTGTCACCCCATTTTTCGATAGGGTTGGTTGTTTTCTTCTTGTGGAGTTCAGCCAGTGCTTTGTATACCCTTTATATCAACCCCTTGTCAGATGGGTATTGGGCGAATATCCTTTCCCATTCTGTAGACTTTGTATTTTGGTCACTGTTTCTTTTGAGGTGCAGAAGCTTCTCAGTTTATGATAGTTCCATTTGTCTATCTCTGTTTTCACTTGCTTGGCCAGTGGCATGTCATCTTTGAAGATACCATTAGCTTCAATATCATGGAGGGTTTTGCCAACCTTGTCTTCAATGTACCTGATGGATTCTGGTCTGATGTTGATTGAGGTCTTTACTCCATTTTGGTCTTACTTTTGTACATAGTGTTAGATAGAGATCTGAGCCCATTAAGTTTTGCTAGTACCATTTGTTAAAGAGGCTTTCCTTGCCCCACTTCACATTTCTTGCTCCCTTATCAGAGATTAGGTGATCATGTTTGGGGGGAGATGTAGGACATCTATCTTGATTACTCTTGACTCTTTGTTTCTAATTATCTTTTATAAAACTGTAAAACCATTATCTAAAGCTTTAGGTCATGATTTGTCATTAGTTCTGCTTTCAAAGCTCTATGTCCAAAGCTATTTTTATTTTTTATGTATTGCTTGTTTTACATAGATAAAGATATTTCTGTGAGAATTAAATATGTGTGTGATTAAAATTATAGGAAATGCAAAATCTGACATCAAAAATATATACTGTTGAAAACAGAACGAATATAATTACTGGAATCTTGTTAGGTCTTTCCAATTAGTCCAGTTTCAAACATTATGGTTCATGTTGTTAAAACATGAGATGCTTAACACATAAAACTTAAACCATTCTTTGCCTTGGAGATTGCCAGGTTTTTTTAACTAGAACTTGTTCAGAAAGTCATGTGCTTTGACTTGGGTTGCCATGTATTAATATAAGAATGAAATGTATTTATTTGGGTTGGGTGTATATCTGGATGCTGTACTGAATGATCACTCCTGGTGGTACTTGGAGGAATTCTGCAGTGCTGAGGATCAAGCCAGGGTTCAAGTACTTTAGTTCCTGTACTGTCTTTCTGGCTCATGAGTGGAAAGGATCATACTTGAGTCTCTTTTCATCACTTACTGACTGTAAGGTCAGTATTATATTTTCACTCAGTAGAGATAAAAATTGTTATAGCTTAAGGACTAAAAAATTGCTAATGTTGAATTCACATACCGTGCAAATATTTTTAATTACAGAGATATAAGTACTGTATATAACTAATTCTTTCTTTGTCGGTGATTATCATTAATATGGTAAGTGTTCTTTTGTGTAAATTTTGGTGGCTTGGTATTGTTTGAATTTTAAAATCTTACAAGACAATAAGGGTTTCCTAAGAGTGCTTCTCCAGGGGTACTTGAAGAGTGGCTGAGGCAGTGCTGGAGCCTTAGTATAATAGGTAGAGCCAGGTCTGCCTGCCACCCTCCAAAATAAGAGTGTCTTAGGGACTGCACTCATTTGGAGGTAGGGAGAGGGTTGGAAAGAGGGTGGGTATACTGGGGACATTGGTGGTGGAGAATGTGCACTGGTGGATGGGTATTTGATCACTGTAGGATTGATACTCAACAGGATAGATTTGCAACCGTATCTCATGGTGATTAGATATATCTATATAGATATAGATATAGATATATTATGTTAAAAAAAGTGACCTAGGGGTCAGGGTGCTAGCAGAGTGGCTGAAGCCCTTGCGTTGTACGTGGCTACACCAGATTCTGTTCCTGATATTCCATGCTTTTCTAGGGGTTCGCTAGGAGTGATCCCAAGTACTGAGCCAGGAGGAAGCCCTGAGTATCTCCAGGTGTGCCCCTTCACACTCCCCCTCACACTCCCCGCCCCAAAGAAAAGGAGAGGCCAAAGGCGGCGCTAATGTACTTTAAGTTCTCTTTACACCACAGCAACTTAACACGCCGACGCCTTTGAACAACACTTAAATACTCCTTTGCATCACATCATTATTATAACAGTAATCTGTCTCTAATTTTAAAAGTTGACACTCCTTGAAAATTAGAAAGCGGAAAGTAAAAAAACGTAAAGAAGTAGATTGTTACTTTCTGATCATGGAAACAACTGTTTATTGTATTACCTCCTAATCTTTTTTTTTTTCCGAACACTCAGCCATTTTTATTTACCAGAATATACTAATATTACAAGCCCCCTCCATCCGTGTGTGGGCGCGCATGTGTGCATGCGTGTGTTTGTGTGTGTGTGTGTGTGGTAAAATAGTTTTATTTGAAGAAATTTACTTCAAAAAGTGTGAGGGGAGAGAAAGAGAGAGAAAGAGAAAAACAGAGAGAGAGGGAGAGAGGAAGAGTAGGAGAGAGAGAGAGAGGTTCAAGAGAGAATATGGACTTCTCCAGGGTGTAAAGGCCTGCCACCCATCCTTTCTTATACAAGTTCCTATATAAAGTGTTAAAATTCATTATGCTGTCCACCACTGATTGTTCACCAAACATCCATCTATTATTCACCCTTAATGAAATAACAAGCAGATTTACAAAAGTCTTTATAGGGCTGGAGATACGTATTTTATACACACACACACACACACACACACATATTTATATACACATACATGTAAGTACATATAAAAGGCTCTTTAGTAGGGACACAGGAAGGAAATGCCCTATAAATAGAAGAGTTGATAACATAAGACCCAGATTTTTCTTATGTTTCCCTCTTAATGAGTTCCTGATTTTCCCCTTTAAGCATCATCAAGGAAGTTGGCAAACTAGAATTCCAACCAGTTGTATCATTTTCTAAACATCTGCCTCATCTCAGAGAAGTCTCTTTCTTCTGAGCCCTCAATTTCCTCATCTCTTGAATTAAATTTTTTTTTACATAGATTCCACAGGATGTAGTAGAAATGCTTCTTGGATCAGCTTTTGAAAGAAAAAGAGCTTTTTTTTTTGCCAATCTGAACGTCTTATCTGAACATCTTTTTATGATATCTCATTATCTCATTCCTACTCTGGACAAACTTGCAGGCTATCGAATATAGCCTGCCCACAGAGCAGAGTCTGGCAAACTCCCCGTGGCGTACCAAATATGCCAAATACCAGTAACAATGATGGGTCTCACTCTCCTAAATAGCCTTGAATATAATCTCAGGGCTAGGATGAAAGAGACGTTACTGGGGCCTGCTCGAGGCAATCGACGATTAACAGGATGATGAATGATGATGAATGAATGAAATGTGGAAGCATTTACAACAGACTCTGATATGAATATATATTCCATATTTGTAATTTGTGAAATTACAAAGGATTGCATCATCTTTGTAAGTTTTCACATCACTGAGCTAGATGTTCCCCAGGGTGCATTCGGCTCAGAAACAATTTTTACACCTTTGGGTAGTGACAAAGAAGGGAATAACAATAGTTGTATTGTTGAGCATGATGTTGGATGTGTAACAGGACACAGGACAAACAAGGCCTTCCTTATGTTAACGTTGATCTGCCCTTTCTGTATTTCCTCACTAGTAACACTGCCTTTCGTAGAAGTTCTTAAACTCTGTGAAATACTGGCCAGGACATTTTGCCGATCCATCTGTTTCAGACCAAAAACACTGAAAGATGTCTTGAACGTTTCCTCAGCGGATTTTTAGTATAATTGTTCGTTTCTATTACTGGCTCATTGCTCTTCCTCCCACAGTGCAAGTTTTCTTCTTCATCAGATTTTCAGAAAGAATTTTAATCAAAGCACTTACGAAATCCCGTCTATCCGTGTGTTTCAGACTTGCCAGCTCGTGGGAAAATGACATCAGTGTCCACTCGCTAACCCTGCCCTCTGCCACCTGCCTGGAACTACTGTTGATCTTATCAAGGAGTAACTCGGCTCTGCCTTCGTCCCTTCGCTTTATGAATTCCTTTCAGGTAAGAAGCAGCTGCTGTCCCAGAGATTGGTTTCTCAGTTTCCCTTGTTCCTCTAAGGATCCTGTCTCTCACGGGTACGGTCAGTGGAAACCCAAGCTTCAGTGGTAACCGTAATAAGTACAATGTGTGGATTGCCCTGTCTTTCTCTCTTTGGGAAAATGAACAAATAGAGTTCAGCGTCGGTTAGGTAGATATCCAGTCATGGCAGCGTCTTGAACCACCTCCAGGGTTGTTTTCAAAGAATGCCTGGGAAAGACGCTTGTGAATGCCATGCTCCCTTTCCTTGCTTTTTTTCCTAGAACCTGGATTCTCAGTGAGTGGTGTCTTTGCCACTGTTAGTTTTTAATCAATTGCCAGATGGGTATTTAGTAGCGATCGTCTCCTGCCTGCTCTCCCTCTGCACGTTTTCCTGCTCTCTTTAGTCCGTCTCTTTTACATCCTACCACTGAGACTGCCTGTGATCCCAGAAAGGACGTAGTCAGAACAGAACAGTAAAAGCGGTAGGAAGCAGCCAGTTATCCCAAGAGAGGCAAATGAAAACTAAGGCTTCCACTAGCCACTCTTTGTGATCCTCTAGCGACTGCGCATACTTAAACAGATCTGTTACTCTTAACTAGTGGCAAAGGATTCTTGAGCCTTCTAAGGCAAGAGTGACGTTTTCAGTACCACATGGGTACTGGAAAATGCTTCACTGAGATTTGTTCCTGCTTCCGAAGGTTTGCAGTATAGCTTAAGGAGATACTTTCACATTGGTGTGTGTTACTTGGTGCACATCTTGTTTAATCTGGTGAAAAAGAAAAGGACGTGTCTTTTCCCCTCTGAATTATAGTTCTGAAAATCTGAACTATGATACAACTATTCCTTTATGACCTGCCTGCATACTCTCCTGGACATCTGTCATGTTGATTGTTTTTGTGGTTCTCTTCTGGAGACATACTTGAGACTTTGGCCTTCCCAGTAGCTAATTGCATTTTTTTATTATTATCATTATTGTTGTCAATTCTGCAATCTCAGAGGCAGTTTTAGTACAGCTTCTTATTTTTTCAGAAGTGAAATGGAGATCTAGAAAAGTGGAGTGAGTTGGCCAGGAAACACCAGGTTGTCATAAGTAGACCTGGACTCAATAGATGTGCTCAGGTAACTCACATCTGCTTCCTGCATGCATCTCACATGCCCCCAACTTCACCAAATGAAGTTGGGGGCCCTGTGAGTGGTAGGTGGACGCTGACTGTGAACTACCTTGTAATGTACACACACACTTTCTTTTAAAATAATTTGTGATTTTATTTATATAGTATCCTAAATCAGAAATGATTCGTAATTCTGTATAACAGACTATATTTCTTCTAAATTTTGTTTATTAGACTGGCCATTGAATCGCATAAGAGTTTGTATGTACCTCTAAGCTTGTATAGGAGGGCTTGAAGATAAGAAATAACAGCAGTTACCTGTGGGGAGCAAGACCAGAAGATGTGGTATTTTTTTTAAAATTTTTATTAGTGAAACATCATGAGGTACAGTTGTAGACTTGCAAATTTTTGTGCTTGGGTTTCAGTTATACAATGATCGAGTACCCATCCCTCCACCAGTGCCCATTTCCCACCACCACGGATCCCAGCATCCCTCCCACCCCCCATCCCACCCTGCCTTTGTGTCAGGGCATTCCCTTTTGTTCTCTCTCTCTTATTGGGTGTTGTGGTTTGCAAAAGAGGCAATGGGTGACAATCATGTTCAGTCTATACTGTATTTTCAGCATGCATCTCCCATCCTGGGAGGATCCTCCCAACACCCTTTATTTGGTGCTCCCTTCTCTATCTGAGCTGCCCTTTCCCCCAGAATGCCCGGCTGGCCTCTAAGCCATGGAGTAATCCTCCTGGTACTGATCTCGGCTATTCTTGGGTGTTAGTCTCCTATTTTGTTACTTTATGTTCCCCAGATGAATGCAATCTTTCTGTGTCTGTCCCTCTCTTTCTGACTCATTTCGCTTAGCACAATACTTTCCATATAGTAGATGTGGTATTTTTTTAATTAGACTCCCCCCATTCTCTTTTAAGTTTTTATGTGGCAGATGAGTGGGCAGCAATCGAGATGACTTTGACTTGTCGGGCTTACGGCATATGGAGGAAGTAAAATAATCATCCACGTGTGGTATAAATTGAGGGCTTTATTACAAAGTAGCCTCAAGTCTTAAAGAGATTAAAAGGCAAATCTAAACTCTGTGGGAAATTTGAAAGGACTGGTTTGTGTTTCTTCTCTAGAAGACAGAGGAGGTCTTCCTCTGTTTCAGAATTTCAGCTCAGTTGATGTAAACACACGGACGTGAAATCCCAGCGGCTTTCGGTGGCATTACTGTTTTCCCTGGGTATCCTTAAACAGACCTCTTTTAGATCCATCAGGATCTTAATTATCGAATGTCTCTCCCTGTTGGTCCTTGTACTTCATCTAGTCTAAGTCCACTTCCTGAGTATCATCAGTAGCTCACGCACTTCCCAATTCCCAAGGCACAGCGAAACTTCGCACATGTTTAAGTGCAGTGTGTGTTGAAAAAGATTTTTATCTCTGCTGCTCCCCCTAGAAAGATGCGTCCACCCTTATCAGAAACATACCAGAAATAAGCTTCCCTCCGCACGTCTTCACTGCAAGATAAAGAATCACTGAAAATAGGGAGGATGTCTCTGGGGATTAGAAAGTGGTACTCTGGCTTTTCATTTTCCTAACACCTACTTGATCATTTATTACAGTGGCAAGTAATGGGACTGAAATTTCGCCCCTATTTGCAATACGTTTTTTAATTGGGAGCTCACTGATATGCGTGTTTTTTAAATTCAGAGTTGTATTGGCAAAGCTGTAAAATAGAATGATGCTGGTTTAAGATACCATCTTCACATTTCCAACTCTCTTATTTTCCAGGTTGAGACAGTTACTGTGAGCAACACACATCTTTTTCTGTAAAAATGTTATTTTAGATTTCTGAGTATTCAAATGACACTCCGACTTGAACTGTTGTCAGTGCCAAATCCCGAAACGAAGGGTTTATTTTATTAATGATAGCCATTAACATATATGAAATTCTGCCTTCTTAAATTACATTGTGCCATTTCTCTCAGAACCAATAGGGAGATCTTTTGGTCGTTTTGTTTTGATTTTAACTTCTTTGTTATTGTTGTATAGCCTTAATATCCCTCATGTGGTTTTGAGCAGTGTAGGGTTTGGTTGCAAATCGCTGATGTATTGTTATAGCTATTATTGCAGCTCCAGGAAAAGTGGACCTATCACTCTCTGCTTAAAATCCTTTCATGACTTCTGCTGCAGGCAGAGTAATATTCAGTTATCCTCTTCAGCCCTACAGAGCTGGGTAGCATCTATCCTGTGTTCCTTTCTGGCTTCTTCTCCTCTTGTCTTTCTTCCGTTTGTTCTTGGCTTGAACCCCACTGGCCTTACTTCCTTTTTCTTATCACAAGCTGCTCTGCTTCTGGGGTCTCTGCTCTGGCGCTCGTCACTGCCATCAGGAGAATACCCTGGACCGGACCTTGACATGAGTCAGTGCTTCTGATCTTCAGGTCTCGGTGGAAGTGTCGACTACCCAGGAAAATAACCTGACCCTCAACAGTTTTCTCTCTCTTCCCATCACCATTATTTTATAACTGTACCTTGTTAACTTTTTTTTTTTATAATACCTTTCACAATTTGAAGTGATCTTGCTCACTTTGTTATCTGTTATTTTTTTTCCCCACTACTGCTCACTAAACACAGGAGGATTATTATTATTTTTTAGTTTTTTTGCTTTCTGGGTCACACCCGGCGATGCACAGGGGTTACTCCTGACTCTACACTCAGGAACCACTTCTGGTAGTGCTCAGGGGACCATATGGGATCCTGGGAATTGAACCCGGGTCGGCCACGTGCAAGGCAAATGCCCCGACCGCTGTACCTTCGCTCCAGCCCCAGGAGGATTATTTTTACTCAGCATTGTCTTAGCATACCTCAAACATATTTGGAAATAGGGAGCATTTTTTTTAAATATTGGCTGAATGGCAGCTTACTTGCTGGCTGTATGTACAAGTAAAATACTGATGGACATGACCACTTGCCATTGGCATGGTCACAGCACAAAAACTGAGCTGGAGGAAGCAGAGGCATGAGTAATAAATTCAGGAGTAGAAGTAGTAACTCTTCTCTGAAAATAGGTAGCATTGTAGCACTGTCCTCCCATTGTTCATCAATTTGCTCAAGTGGGCCCCAGTAACATCTCATAACAAATTGTGAGACTTGTTACTATTTTTGGCACATCGAATATGTCGCAGTAGCTTTCCAGGCTCTGCCGGGCAGGCGAGATACTCTCGGTAGCTTGCCAGGCTCTCCGAGAGGGGCAGAGGAATTGAACCCAGGTTGGCCGTGTGCAAGGCAAACGCCCTACCCGCTATGCTAAATAGGTAAGGTCTGAATTTGAAATGTGCCAGCAAAATAGAGCACAGGTGGGTATCTTCATTGGACTGATAGCCTGGGATTTTTGAGTGCTGAAAAATGTTCAAAGGAGACTTTAGCCTTTGGAGACAGCTGGCAAGATTCCAGGTGAGCAAAGTGGCACCATGTACTGGCCTGATGCCTAAGGCCGTGTCTCTGCGTCCGCTGGAGGGGAGTAGGCTTCAGCCTCTTGCTGCCATCAAGTTCTGCCTGTTGGATTGCACTCGAGATGCTTCGGAGGCCTGGAGTCAGATGTCAGAAAGCCGTTTTCATGGCCCTCTTGCTGGGTAACCAGTTATATAACCAGAAGTTCTAGTAGCGATTTTAAATCTGAACCAGTTGTCCAGAAGGCGGAACCTTTAGAACAACCACGTTGGAGCCACCAGTGGGCAAGGACTCCGGGTTCTAATGGCCCTCTGCATTATTTCTTGGAATCGTAGCAAGTGTGGCTAGAAGGACCCGTTAGTCTATTTTTATGGATCAGGAACCAGGTCCAGGAAAGTAACATTAATGTGGAAAGCTGACACTGATCTCTG